TTAGTTATTAGTTCTAGAGTGTACACAAGACAGTCTAGAACTTTGGTTGTAAGTTCTAGGGGCAGTACAGAAACACAGCCTTTTATATTACAGAAGTTATAAAGAGTCATTAGAAGTTATAATACTCTACCTTATAAGAAAGTGTATTACAAACTAGTGTACAGGAAGTACAGGTTGAGTCAGACAGAGTCATAAGAAGACTACAGAACAATAGAAAGCTCTACTCTATAGGAAAAGTATTACACAGCTTACACAGTATAACTAGTTAGGAGGACTTATAAGGAGTTATTAGAAGTATGAGAGGAAGTATAGAAGACATAACAATATAGTAAAGGAGTCATTAGAAGATTAATCTAGGATACAAGAAGACACAAACTAGTGTCAGCAGATTAATAGAAGACACAAACCAGTGTAGTATACAGTCTAAAGGATTAGCCAGCTCTACTTCATAAGAACAACAGTAAAGGGAGTTACTAAAGTCACTAGAGTAACATTACTCTAACAAAAGGTATATAAGAAGGCCAGTTTAGCCCTCAAAAGATAGTTTTATCAACTTAAGTTACCTAGTACTTGGAAGTACTCTACTACTAGTCTACTAGACTATACTTACAGCTTGACTAAAGCAGGACTCCTTTACCCTCTCATACTACAAGTCTACAAGTCTTACCCTCTATACTCTATTCTGTTACTATTCTTAAGGATTAAGACTAGTAAAGTAAGTATATCTTACAATTTACTCTCAAGACAAGTAGGTTATGAAAGGGGGGAGAATAATAACAAAAATCTTGTTCTCCTAAACAATTCCTGTTTTGTGTCTAAGATGATCTGAGAGATCTGACTCAAATCTAAGGATGTCAACTTTGTCACTTACATATAGTAAGCTCTAAGACACACACAGGACCAGGTTGTAGTAAAGTAGTTAGAGAAACAGGCTAGAGACTAGGAGGAGGATAAGGATAGACAGGTTTACTAGAAAGGCTAACTGTACATTCTAAAGGATTAGAAACTGTAGAAGGACATTGTCTGAGCTTATTATAACAATCTGACTGTAGAACATCTGAGCTAACACAAAATGTAGAAACTTATTACTTAGAACTACTAGTAGTCAGGAATGTAGAAGGAAATCCTAAAGTATATGACTGGTTACAATATGTGCTAACAGACTAAAGCCTACTAGACAAGAGTTTAGACTCTCTTACATTCATATTAGATTCTAGATCACTCTTAGGAAGAAGTCTTAGTAGACCTGATTAGTAAGCTACTTAAGTCTTAGAGTTACAATACTATCTGTATAATTGTTGACCAATTCTCTAAGCAAGTCTACACAGTTCCAACCTAAACAGAACTCACTTTTAAAAGTATAGTACACATCTATTAGGATCATGTCTTCTAGTTGTATAGACTCTCTTAGAAGCTCATTCATAATTACAGACTACAATTTGAGTCAAAATTCATACAGGACTTGTATGTACTTCTTAGAATTTAAGAGAACCCTTCTACTGTATATTACCTACAGACTAATAGTCAAACTGAGCAAGTCAATCAGGAGATCAAGCTCTATCTCCAGATGTTTATTAATCATTAGTAGTCAGACTAGTCTGAATAGTTAGCTCTAGCAGAATTTGTACACAATAACTAGTAACACTCTACAATAGGACAGTCTCTGTTCTTCCTTAATCATAAGAGACATCTGTACTAGGGGACAGTTCTAAACTAGAACAGTAGTTCTGAATCTGTAACAGACTTTGTAGAACAGATGTATAAGACTAGGAAAGATACATGAGCTCTTTTAGAGAAGGTAGTACAGGTAATAAAGTGGAACTACAATTGGAAGAGATCTACAGCTAAGGATTACTAGCTTAGGGACAAAGTTCATTAGGAAAAAGTCACATTTCTTATAATATATTTTAGACTTTGTAAAGTAACATAAGTATTGTATGTATATTGTAAAGTAATTACAAGACTTGCAAATCAATTGTAAAGTTTGTATAAGACATGTTAATGTATATAAAGGCTAAGTAAGTGTTATGAATGAATACAATCTATTACAAGTATTATACTAACTTTGTATAATAGTACTAAGTATTATGCTTGCATTACATTTTTATTATAATTTCAAAGAAAGAATTATATTTATAATAGAATAATGTAACAATAACTATTGTTGCCTTATAATTTATGTAAAAGGTATATTAATGTATATAATAGTGTAAGAGCACTTGTTATATTATTATTATCTTAATAAAAGTATACTATAAGTATATAATATGTATATTATACTTAGACTATCTATACAAATAGTTTACAATATTTGTAAAAGTTATTTCATCTACTTGTAATAATTACATAAGTGTGTTTAGAAAGCTATATACTTGTCATATTACTTTTTACTATATTACAAAGTAGATCAATTATTTATTTTATACCTAAATACAATAATTGAAATGTTCTATCAGTTGATGACTCATATTATAGTTGCTTATGTAATCAACTGCTGAAGATCGAGAGCATATAATGACGCATTTCTCTTTGTCACTCCTTTACTCCTACCTTCACCATCTCCCCAACCCTCTGTCCCCAACGCTATGTCGTCGCTTCTGTTCTCTCTAGTCAAGTCCTCTGCTCGCAAGCGTCCTACCAGCGGGCACTCCGCCTGCTACAACATAGGCAATAAACATCACTGTACTTGTCTCTCCAATCTGCTGTTGCGATGCCCGCGCTGAGCCTCAGATCGCGCGATGATGCCACTGAGCTGACTACACTGTCCTTCAACATAAAGCGTAAGCAGCCAGTCTACTTCACAATAACCTGCACAATAGTTGCTCATCCATCTCCTCCCAACTTTTTGTCTTTCATCCCTCCCATCCCTCCCACTCCTTGCTCCGCCGCTTGCGTTGCCTCTCCTCCGTTGTCCTTCTTGTTTTATGCTTGCCTTCCTTTTTGCATTCGCATTCGCACTTCCGCATTGTTAACCAATGCCGAACGAGTTCTTCAATAATTCCATGTATTCACGTTCTTCTTCCTGCTCTGCAGCGCAAGCAACAATCGACGAGCACATGCGAGCACGCTCGCGACAATGTCCATGTCGGATCACTCCCAAGGCACAATCCTCTCTCC